GAGAGCGCGTTCACGTGAAAGGGGCGGGGTTAGCTACATTTGACCAATCACAAACAGGGACAAGTGTACTGATAGCGCAGCGTCATACTTCATTAATGAAAAGTAAACTAATATTAGACAAATAGGAACTTTAAACATCCATTACTTAAACATGTAATCCAGGATACAAGCCACATAGTTGCACCTGCAAGGTGAATATAGAACCAGTTAAAAAATAAATAAACTACCAAGTGTTTGAAAGCATACAACAGTTTTATGATACTGCCCCATCTAAGACACGAGTGGATCTGACTTTAATTACATTTGAGTTGAGTGTTTAGTCAACTTAATGTGTTGCTTAAAATAATACGTCTGCATACAGTATATGTGACAGTGTAAGTGTTGCACGGCCAGATACGGCTCGAGAAGCTGACTCAGATAAAGAAATATTGTGATATTATATGATCGATAATCTGATTGATGATGTGATATCAGTCAGTGTAATATGAATGATAAGTGCGACATGTCGGCGTCTTCTCTGCATACGGCAGTTTAAACTGTATTTCCTTTATCCTGTAATATGACTTGATAGATTTAAACTCCGCACACTGAGCTCTGATTGGTCAGCAGGCGGTGCTTTCACTGAGTTGATCTCTTTTCTATAGATGCTGGAGGCGGGCAGCACCATGTAAAAAAAGTGATTTAGCCTTCCCAAACCTGAGCCTCACGCGCCGCCTATGGTCCTAACATTACATTATTAATGTTTCTGATTAAAGGTTCAGTAATGTTTGGAAACACAGCAGACCTACATTATCATATATGATCTTCTCAGTTCTAAAGGCGAATTGTTTTGTAACTTAAATGCAACCGCCCTCATTTTTAGTTTACATTCACAAAAACGGACCCTAGAATAAAAAAAAAGAAGCTGATTTGCAATGAGATGTGACTTTCAAGAGTTGATTTTTTTCCAGCTGCAAGAGGACACTGTTCACTAAAGTTGATAGAAAATGAGTTGAGCCTCTATTAATAGTACATAAAGAAAAACAATGGGAAAAAAGTGTACTATTGCAAATGCTCCAGAATTCCCCGAAGAAATAAAACACCAATTTGGGGTTTGACCACAGCTCTCACTGCCAACATTGGTAACAATGGTTATATTTATATGTGTAGATAAAAGTACAGTATCCTTCTGAGTGGAATGAGACAGATGTGTGGTTGGAGACCCCCATACCTGCAGGTCATTGTGCCCCGCCTCCTCCTGAGGCAGCGGGGGGGTAAGGTCTGTTGTCTTTGTCTCTGTGACCTCTCCGTCTGTTACAGCCTCCTCCACCTGAGCTCCGTCTATTACAGCCTCCTCCACCTGAGCTCCGTCTGTCACAGCCTCCTCCACCTGAGCTCCGCCTGTTACAGCCTCTTCAGTCTGAGCTCCATCTGTCACAGCCTCCTCCACCTGAGCTCCGCCTGTTACAGCCTCTTCAGTGGAGCTCTTTCTTTGGCTCGATGCTCTTCTTTCCATCAGAACTCTGTGCACGGCGCTCATGGCTGCTTCCCGGCACAGAGCCATGAGGTCGGCCCCCACGTAGCCCGGAGTGATGCGGGCCAGCTGCTTGAAGTCAAAGTCCTCCGGCAGCTTCAGCTTCCGACACAGCGTCTTCAAGATCCTGCAGAACAGAGAATTCGGTTTTTACTTTTCAAAGTGTGAAAGCGACCACAGAGGCGATCGTTTGGCAAAAGCAATACAATATTCAGCATACTAATGTACATCCTCGTTCTCTATGGGCGTTTGTCTGACCTGAGTCGAGCCGCTTCATCAGGGATCCCCAGGCAGATCTCTCTGTCGAAGCGTCCCGCTCTGCGCAGGGCGGGGTCCAGGGAGTCCGGCCGGTTGGTGGCCCCGATCACCATCACCTGAGCCGTCACCGTCAGACTGTTCAGGTCTGCCAGGAGGAGAGCAGCACTGTCAAGTCATTTTCTGTATCTCTTCTCTTTTCTAAGTGTTGGCAGTTGCTTCACCTTTTGCTTAATATCACATATCCACCAGCTGTTGATGAGCCTAATTTAGGGATTCAGATTATGATTGAGCGCCAGGTTGAGGAGTAACATACATGTAACAGGATTACGTTATCATGATACAAACTTTATTTAATTTACAGTTACCTTAAAAAGGCGTTATTCTTTACTGTTACATTTCTCAAAAGTGGGTATTACTAGCAGGATTACAATGTTAGTAAAAACTAAAAATAGCATATAGTGTTTGTTGTAAAGGATCAGATGTTATCTCTTCTCTGTAAACTGTACTGTTCTGTAGGCTAATACTTTAAGTGTGAATCTATACGCC